ATACGTAAAATGTAAAGGTGTAAAAAACAGATATAGTAATGCTACAATAAAATAATATAAGATCCAAAAAATTCAATTGAATACCGGTACTACAAATAAAATACATGATATAAAATTTGAATACAATAAAACACAATGACAATACTTCAAATACAACAGACTGAAACAAAATTGAATTTCTATGAACCCTTCGATTCAATCATGGTAATAAAATATGATCTAGGAGTCCGGAGTAAAAAAATTGTAAGATGATATTTGAATGTTTTTTTTTGAAAATAGATTTAATGCTTCCAGGGAAAGAGTTATACATTTTAGTGCCAATTATCTACATTTAGTGCCAATTATCTACATAGTTTTGATGATAGTTCAATTCAAAATTTATTGTTTTTTTCCTTTCTTTCTGAGATTCCTACATTCTTTGCATCAAAATGGAGAAGTGGAAAGGCAACATCCTCCTTCCCCAAAAATCAGTATCTGCCAAAAATATACATTTTCCAATGTGGAACATAAATTCAGTAAACTGTTAAAATTCAGAATCAATCAAAACAGCCTCATGTAAAGTCTCTTGTATAGCTGGGATTAAGAAGGAAAGTTTTAAATCAAAGAAAATATAAAAAAGTATGTAATCGGAGTGAGGATGAATGAAATGATCTACAAGTAATGGAAACGTTAAGTGCTGAGATGAAACAAATGTTTGGTGTCTTATATGAACCCTAATGTTATAAAGATACATTTCAGTTCATTCACTTCTGTTGATATGAATAACGTCGTGAGTCATTTCAAATAACGAGGTCGTATACTGCCAACTATGAAAAAAATAAACGCACAGCTTACTCAATGAATCACACCTTTTTTTTGTGTGAATGACATCGACTAGAACAAATATTATCCGTGTATTCTGGGAGGGGTATTATCATTTAATCCTCGACGTAGAAAACATCATGAATATTCTCACTTCCGTCAATCCTGTAAAGCAGCAGAATCAACCCAATAACGAACTAGAAAAAATTTTTGCCAGAAAAATATACGGTCGAAATTGGGTCCGAATTCAAAATCTCAAAGCTGAGAGCTGGGTACTCAACCACTGCGCCAACTATTAGGTTAGGTTAGATCCAAAGTAAGTGGGTCTATTTGAACCTCCAGCGCAAACCGCAAGGGTTCATTGTGGCTCCCAGCTATTTACATTCAACCAAATAAACCCAGCTTTCTAACAAAGCCGATTAGTTTGTATGGTGACTGGTTTTTTAGGTCAAATGGTGGGAGTACGGCTCTGCCAAGCTCTGAAAACCTGATTCGGTTCCTAGGGGGGCAGGCACAAAGTATGTGCTCTGCTGTTTCATCATTTTTCAAACAGAGGTGACACACTGTCTTCCGACGGTTCGAGTCTCTGCAAATGATGACTCAAATGACAGTGACCTGAAGGAAGGCTTGTTAGACATCGTAGTCCAACAACTGTTCGGTATCAAGCTTCAAAGGGTAAATGAACGCCTTGGAGTGAGCCAATCCTAGAAGATACTGCCAGAAGTCCATAAATCTTCTTGCCATCCAGGTGTCCAATCTTTGTTTGGCAAAGCCTAAAGCGATGCTAATGACAGGTTCAGGTCCGATGGAGCTGCTTGCAGCACCCTCTTCTGCAAGGGAATCAGCAGACTCATTGCCTTCCAGGCCAGTATAGCCAGGAATCCAGACCAGAGACGATCTGTTGATTCTTTCTATCGAGGAGAGTCGTTTTTGGAAATTTGCTACCAATTTAGACGTTGCTCGGTAGGAGTCAAGAGCTTCCAACGCCGCTTGACCATCCGAGAGTATTTATGTTGAATTGCGAACGAGGTTGGATTCTTCCAATCTCTCCGCACACAATTCAATAGCGTAAATTTCCGTTTGAAATAAAGTCGCATAGGTTCCTAGGCAGGTTGATATCTCTGTCCTGGGTCTGCGACTGAAAACACCTGCACCAGAACCGGAAGGTGTTTTTGATCCATCTGTGAACCAACAGCTATCTACTCTTAATATTTCCTTCCTTCGGAGGATCCAGTCCTCTCTACTCGGAAACAGTACTTTATAAGGCAGTTCGTAGTTGACAGTTGGAGGCATAAAGTCAGAGGTCAATTCCAGAATGCTGTGACTTCCAGTGTCAACCAACATTGAATTGATTTGTGCAATTGGCAATGTGCACAAGTCTGTATACAGTCCATCTAGCCTCTTTCTCCAGAAAAATGTGGAGAGGGAGTAGATCACGAAAGATCTCCATGGCCGCTGACGAAGTGGTATTGATGGCAAAACCAAACAAGCCTGTCTTTGTAAGCCAGAGAGCTTCTTCTGTGCAGTTTTCTGTAGAGCCTTCAGCCACCAGGCAATTGCACCATAAGTGATCATTGGACTG